ACAACTAATAAAAAATTAGACTCCTTCGCTGAATTCCGAAGAAAAAGAAGTATATCACTAAATTAACCCAAGAAAAGTTTTTGTCAAAAGAAAAAAAAAACATATAGGCAAACAGCACCTGAAGTAATGATTAGGTTGGATGTGTAGGGTGGTGGTGTTGTATTAGGGCATTAAATTGATGAGGTGGGCATGCAATGGTCGAAGTCTATTGTCTATACTCTATTATTGATTATACAGACTCGCTGTATATGTAGCTATGGTCCGGTATTGTATATTAATTCCGTTTGAGATTAATCAAATCAGATAGAAACATAAAGAACCGGCCGGCCGCACATTGAAATGATTCCATTGGGAAAGTCTTTCATCTGATCGAACACACCAATTTGGATCAGTGTTGCCCATCATCATTGGCTTCCCTTTTCACCAATTAGTTACTGCAATCATATATTAAATGTCATATATATATATATATATATATATTCACAGTGTAGTTACACTTTTCACACTAGTACTAGTACCTTAGTTAGTGCGTAAGGTTGTGAACAATGCGAGGTGTACTCTCTTCGTCGAATGTTATATAGTAGTATATTATTTTGATTAAATGAATATGATTATGATTTTAATTGGGACGGTAAGCAGATAATACATATAATCAGAATTATGAACTAAAAGGTTCAAATGAAAACTCCTGCAGGCTTGGCTACTAATTAAATTCAAATTCTTTTTTCCATCCCATACAAATAAACAAAAAAATTATAGGAGACAAAACTCTTACTTGCAGCTCAGAAAAAAAAAGGAGTTAAAATTTTGCTACCTTGCAATGATTATTAATGTGGACTGAACTCGCAAAACAATGTATTGAGAACTATTATTATTTATCATGTATATATATATATATATATATATATATATATTATTGCTCTTCCTGTGTCTTCCACGAGCAAGAAATTGTAAAAAAAAAAAAAGGATTGGAACAAGAAAAAAAAAGAAGCATATAATTGTAAGAGGACAAAACAACAAGTGACAAACTGAGAAACTATAAGGAAACGTGGACGTACGAGTGTCATTTTCAGAGAGGAACAAAAGGGGGGGTTGATGGATCAATAATTATTAGCATTGCTTATCATGAAGCCGGTGTGTCTTTTCATGGATCGATTTGAGAGAAATGACTTGAAGATCATGACATTCCTTAATTACTAACAATAGGGATATGACAGAAAGTGGATAGGTCTGGCTTTTAATTAATTCCTTTCCACTTACCCAAACCAGCTAATGTGGTTTTAGAACAGAAATCCCATTTTAGGGTTCTCACCATAGAAGAAATCAATCATTTTCAATCTTCATTATTGCCCTTCTTTTCATTCATTTATCCTTGGGGCTTAATTTTCAATATGTAACACTTAGATTCAGTGTCGGAACTAGAATTTTATAACATGGGGACAAAAGAAAGGCTGAAAAAGCTAATAAGTGCATTAGTATATATCCGTACACGATTATGCATTATATACCACGAATAAATTTTGCCACGTGAATACATATTTTAAATTTTGTTACTTATACTTTTTTTGTCCAAAAATACTGTCTTATATTGAGACGGAAGAAATACCGAAGTAGTGAGAGAGAAACCTCGGGGACCTTGTTGTTGGCACATAATTTGGTTGTTTGGGTGATGAGGAAGATGTGGAAATAAGGGGAATGGAATATGGAGCTGCTCCGTCTGGTGCAACTCGTGCGTCGAAATACGGCCTGCGAGTAATGGCGAAGTAAGGCATATTAGCAGTAGTAAGTGAAGAAAGAATTGAAAAAAAGGTATAGGGGAAAGCCATTTAAGGCCATATATACACTCATCATTGCACTCACGTCATTATTGTCGTGCATTTTGACGATATGTTTCTTTTTCTTTCCCTTTTATTGTAGACACCAATGTTATGTTAGTATAAGCAAGTATATTGCAAAATATATAATGGAGGATTAATCAGTTATAGTTGTTTTTTTTTTTAATTTTTTTATACAGTGACTGACTGGTTCAACGATTTTCAGTTAATTTTTGTCCTTTTAATCTTTCACTAGATCATTCAATCCTCGACGTTTTTACAACATTTCTTAAACTAAACTAGTACATAAGGTAAAATTTTGTTCCAATGAAGACATCAATTCAGTTAAGTGTGACGTCAAACTGTTCTTTTCCCTCGATCTTTAATTCTCTCTACCACAAACTTTTGATCAGAAACAGCATTCAATTCTGCATATATACATATATATGGTTCTTCTTTTGATTAGGGGAATACTGGTTGAAAGCATTTAATTTCGGAGCAGAGTAGTAATTTTCAACTGTAAATTTGTTTGCTAGGGCCTCAAACCAATGATATCCTATGCCTTACAGCGTCAAGACAAAATCCCCAAAGCCACTCCAATCTGATGGCATAGATTAATTATTATGCTTTTCAATTTTGATGGTACTAATTGTAAGCTTTAAAAGAACCCTTTATGTGAAAGTTCGTGCAAATAATACGCACAGATACCTGCCGGGTCATTAGTCCTTTACATAAGTTTAAGATATACACCTCCTTCCAAAATGATTGTTCTATTTGTTATATAATCATTTTGGGACGAAGAAAATATAAATATACAATGTCTGCATATGAATGCTTGAGCTTATGTTGTTTAGTTACCAAACCAAATTTTGTTCTTAAGTGCCTTCTTATTTAATGGGTAATTTATAAACGAAATATTGAGTATATAGACATGTATGTACTACCATTGACTTCGAGATGCTCGGAAAAAGGTAGAAATCACAGAGCTCTTGGGGTACACTATATGTACGATACAATTTAATTGTAAAATTGGTTGATTTCTAACAATTTTAATCTTGAATGATTTATGGAAAGAGTTTCAATATACTCTCTTCCGTCTCATAATTATTGTCCAATTTGACTTTTCATTTCTAATTCAAATTATACTAAAAAGAAAATCCAATCTGGACAATAATTTTGAGATAGGGGGAGTACTACTACGTACTGTGAAGAAATGGGCAAAAGATACATAATGGTTTTGAGAATATAAGAAATTTTATTTACTAAATTATAGTGCAATGAATAGTTGTAAAACTCAATATTTTCCCAATCAAAAGCCAACGGTAAGCTCATTATTGGGATTCAGTGATTTCGTGGCTTTTGGGAAATTTTCGATTTAGTTTCAAATAATAAGATTCTCAATTTCACAAGAGATTTTCTATCTCACTTATAATTTTACAAAATGCGCTCTAATAGCTAGTAAAGGAGTTGAGTTGAGTGCAGTTTTAGTTTGATGGGGTAGGAGTTGAAGAAAAGAATAAATCCTCTTATATGTTCTTAACAATGTATGTTGCTATATACACAAGAAATAGGGCAAACTGTTTCATGTAAGCTGAGTTGCTTTCGCAAAATAAGAGGAAAATAATCACTCTTTTTCTCAGAATCCAGCAGAAAATTGCAGCAATTAAAGTTGTTAAGCAACAAATTAGCATTAACACAGATTGAGTAAAAAAGGGGGATTAATAATGGCTTAAGTAATGAAGACAAATTGACAAGTCAATTAACAAACCACATGTGTTGTATGTGCATATTTATTTCAAAGAAGTGATTCTCCTTGGAATTTGCATGTATTATTTTAGAACAAAATAGTACTCTCTCTGTCCCAAAATTATTGTCCACTTTGAGATTTCACTTTAATACAATTTGAACTAAAAATAAAAATCTAAACTGAACAATAATTTTGGGACAGAGGGAATATATAACCTCTGAATTTTATAATTTATTGACTATCTTATAATTCGTAGTAACTTGGTACTAGAATATATTTTATTCATTTTGTCCATCCCCTCCTGCAAATTCTTTTTGCCAGGAAGACATTCTTTTCGTTTGAGCAATTGAAGCCATAAATCAATTATTGTAATGAAGATGTTGAAGACCTCTCTGAGTTTGGCATTTTTCATCCAAAAACTTTAGAGCAAATGTCCTTTGGACCAGCTAGAAGCAGCAGCAGCAGCAGTACTACTGCCAAATGCCAACTATCAATGTCTATGGAAACTGGTAAAATTAAATACGTCAAAATTTGAACACTCATTTTTCCTTCTTTTTTTTTTTTGGGGGTAAACTTTTCTAATTATTTATTGTAGGTCGCCTCTCCCTCTCCTACGAACTGTGCCAATGGCAAAGATTCAAAAGAGTAGCAACAAAGCTCCACTGTTTAAGAACATTGAAAAAAATCCCCATACAAGAGGGCCCTAGTCTACGGTTTTGTTACTGTTAAACTGCAAAGGGTCAAAATGCTCAACTTTTTTTTTTTGTTGCTTTAATTTTCATCATCCTCAATTTTGATCCCAAAATAGACATTCATCTGGACAAAATGGATTTTTCCCTAGTGTGCACGAACTGAGACCGACAAATTAATCCATATAGAGAAATCCCCCAAAAAATAACATATTCATTGAAATTTTGACTCGAAAGAGTTTAAAAATTACTGAGATAGCGATATAAATTGGATACAAAGTGTAATTTTAAAAGTAACAGACCATGTAAGTCTACATTGAACTTTAAGAATATGAATATGGAAATCGTACATTTTTCGATATTTCGATCTTTACTCTGATTGAAGATATACATGTTCAAGACTCAAATATAAATGTATTTATTAATATGACAAGAGTAGTACTCAACAATTCGAACACAAGTGTTCAAATATTCAATACTCAGTGTACCTAATAATACAAGTCATCTTCTCGTATGTGATCTACGAAAATCACAAACGAATTGTTGAATACAAACAAACGCGGGCTAATATGCAACTTTATGCATGCAATTATACATATAGTATAATAGACAGAAAACCCCCACGAACCAAAAAAATTAGTTTAAACAGTAATTATCAAAATATATATGTAATAAGGCCAAATCAATGTGAACTAACAACGAAAGCAACATATATAAATATAAGGGTACCAAAGTACCAACCAAAAGAGTGAGGGTAATATATTTTTTCTACCAATAAAAGCTGATGGGAGGGAGTTTTTGCCTTATCAGATGGCTTTTGGTTCAAGAAATGTTGTCGCCGGGGTCCAAAAAAAAAAAAAAAAAAAAAACCTAAAATTCAAGACGGATCAATCGGTGTTCTCCGGCCGGCATCACCACCGGCAGCCTTGGGATGCTGAAACTGGCTGAGTTGACCTATACTCGCCGACACATTCATGGCCAGGAGGCTGCTGGCGTCATAATTCCCGGCCCCATCAAACGCCCGGATCACCTGCTGCTGCTCCCGAGGGAAGAACTGGTGGTGGTAGTACTGATCCCGGACGGCGGCGCCACCACCTCCCCCGATGAAATTCAGCCCCAGATTCTGGTGATGCTGGTGGTGGTGGTGGGTGGTGGCGGCGGCTGCCGCCGCCGCAATCAGGCCGTGGCCGGTGATGCCGAGGTTCTGGTACCTGGAGAGCTCGGATTTGGCACAGCTTAAGTCCATCTGGAGCTGCCGGAGCTGGTGCTGGAGGAGGGAGATGACTCCGACGCAGCCGTAGACCGGGTCCCGGAGGCGCATGTCGGCCTCGTAAGCGAGGGAATTGACGGCGTCTTCTCGCTGGTGGGGCTGCAACTCGTTGAGCAGTTTGGTGACGTTGCTGGCGCCGAAGACTTTGTGGACGTTGGCGAACTTCTGGGGTTGGTCCGGTGGGAAATACGGCGCGAAAACGCACTCCGGCTGGCATTTCCGGCGGAGGAACTTGCAAGCCGCGCATGGAGAATTGGAAGACGCCATCTCTACTTAAAACACGATTAATTTTTCTCTTTTTTTGCGTCCCTTAACTTCAATTTTCTCTTTTGACAGTTTTAACCTGAAACGTCAAATCAACGGAAAAAAAGAAAAAGAAAATTAGATATCAATGAACACACAACGACCCACAAAAATTGGGGGATCAAAAAGATGAAAAGAAGAAGGGAAAAAAAAAAAGAGTCAAAACACATAGGGAACAGGGGGCTACAAAATGGGGTGCTTCAGAAAGTGCAAAAAAATAAGCTACTCACAACAAGGCAAAACAAGAACATGATAGAGACAACCCATTTAACAAAAACATATAGATATATAGATACAAGTAGTCTACTTTCTTCTTACACTGAAATCAAAAGAAGAAGAGATGATGAACAGATCAAAAATAAAAAAAAACCCCGGACTTCTTTACTCTTAATTTGATGGAAGAAGAAGATGAGAGGCTTCAGAGCAGACAGTGAAGGAAGAAATCTGTGGTTCTGTGATGAAGGATTGGCTGCCATTTTATGGTGGTTGGATGCTGAAACGGATGGGAAAATCCCAATGATGGAATTTTAATTCAAATGATTTGTTCAATGAGGATTAGTACGAAGGTTTGAAAAAACAATCATATGTATAATTGGATCAGCCAAGTCTTGCAGTCTGGGGGGTGTTTATTTTGGAATGCAATTTATGGATATTGATACAGAAAATCAAAATTCAAAAATAACAACAAACTCTAACCAAAGAAAAATTTTTTAATCTCAATGAAATCGAAATGATTGGTATTTGTGGTGGAGAACCTCAAAACAAATTTGGCTACTCACTTACTATACAAAAAAAAAAAAAAAAAAAAACAACATACTTACTATACAAAATTAACCAACATATGGTATGGATGCCTTATTTTGGCACCAAACAACATACGGAAAGATTATTAGTAGCCCTATGGTTATTTGAAGTATAATTACAAATATAGACAAATATGTTCACACTCGAACGCTTCTCACACGATCAAGGTCAATATGTACCTGGCCTAGTATCTCATTGCTATATATACAAAACTTGTGAGAAAATTGATTTCTTTTGGTCCTCCTAATAAAATGGAAGGTTTAAAAGGAAAGTTTGGAGAAATTTGAAAACAAACTCACTCATTATTTTCCCCCCTCTTTGTGTGTATGAATGGAAAATTCAAAATCATAACCCAAATTAATTGGGATCATCAGATGGGATTTTCTTGAAAATAATCAAAAGAAAAAAAAATGGTGTAATTTTCTTTTAGGGTTTTTTGGAAAAGAGCAAGAAGAAGAAATCAAAGAAGAATTCAACTACACTTTTTTTTTTTTTTGGTGGGGTGGATTGGATCTCGTGACAAAGTAAGACTTTTTTGGGTTCTATACTTCTACTACACTAAATTCGATGCTAAAAGAAGATCTTGCTTGCATTTGATTCATATCCCTACTCCTCTCCCTAGATCAAGATGATGATCATCACCATGATAGTAGACTATAGACTATTACAGTTGAATATTGTGAAAGAAAAAAAACATTAAAAAACACAAAAAGAAAGATAAAAGATGAAGTGAGAAAGAGAGAGAGTACTAATTCAATTACCTGTGAGAAAGATGAGACTTTTGAGAAGTGGCTAGTACTACTACTACTAGTAGTATATGATGATGATGATGAGTACATCTCTTATATATATGTTAATTTAGTCATGAAAAATAGTGTACAAAATATTTCTTAAAGGAACCAAAATCAATGCGTTTAGTGTAAATATAAATACCCCCTATCCCCACAAAATAAATTAAGAAATGAAAGAAAATTTAAACTTTTTATTTTCTTTCCATTTTCAATATAAGGAGAAGAGAGAATAATTAAAGTTGGTGTTGACGGGGCAAAGGCTTAATTCCTTAAAAATTCTTTTATATTCTCTCTTCTTGAAAGTTTGCGTTGTGTACCTCGGTTTCTTCGGTCAAACCTTTTTTTGCTTTTCAACGATAAAGCTAATCTATCTATCTATCTTCTTCTCCTACATGCTACAACCTTTTTGTTTGGCTCAAGTTCTAGTCACCTTTGACAGATGGATGTATGGGGAAGAAGAAAGAATAAAGAATAAAGAATATTAATTGGGATCCATCCATACTACTTACTGTATTCTTATTATTTACACACACTCACACACCAACTTGGATCTTGCAAAAAAAAAAAAAAAAGTTACGCAACTTTTTTGAAGCTTCTGAAACAAATCTTGAGAAAAGCAAACTTCAAAGCTATACATATATAAGTAATATATACCTGCAGCAAAGCAACTTTGTTTTTTTTGCCCCCCTTTTTGTTGATTCTTCTTCAGTTAGCAAAGTTGCAGACTTGCAGTGCTTTTAAACATGATGAAGAAGACATGATGAGCTCATGAAGGAAGGAAGCTAAAAAATGAAGGCTTTCTTTCTGTTTTCGTCTTCCTCTTTGTCTTTCTCTCTTCTTCTTCTGTCATGCAAAAATGAGGTTCTTGTTGTGCTTGTAGGTGGTTTAGTCTTCAGTTGCAGATGTTTCGGGGGGGCGAAGGAGGACAAGTTTGATCACTCTTTGAAACTTTTGTTGCAGAATATAAGAAAACAAAAAGCCAATACAAAGATGGTGACAAAAGGTAGGCTAGAGAAGCTTTTGCGGAAGATAAGGAAGAAGCTCTTATGTCATGAATGACCAGACAAAATAATATATATATATATAAAAAAAAAAACAAAAAAAATCAACACAACTAATTGAAAAGAGATAGAGTTATAATGCTAACATGGTTAAATATTTAAGTACTTAGGTTTTTTTGGGTGTAAAGAGAGGGAAAAGAACAGTGGGGTTTGGGGGAAGGGAATAAGGCCAGAAAAGGGTTTGTAAGGAAGTAAGGTAATATGTATATATATAGAGGCGGGGGAAAGTCCCCCAACACCAGAGCCTAAGGAAACGCGGAGAAAGCAAAGCAAACCCAAATTTGTTGCTCAGCGCGTGTGAAGGGGAATGGGGAAGAGAGAACCTAGCTAGGAAGAAGAAGAAAGAAGAAAGTAGAAGAATAAGGAAGGAATATTATAAAGGAGGAGGGGGGAGAGTGACAGTATTTATGTATGTACGTTTCTGTATTTATTGCACGAGAATAATGATAATGACAGTGAAATGATTCCGTCACAGATGAGAGCATAAAATAACCTTTAATGATTATCTGCGTAAAATGTAAACACTTACAGATCTTTGTATGCACGAGTATCATATCAGTCGCTAAATCATTTTATACAGACGAACTTAATAAAAAATGTTTTGAAATAATGTAGTTGATTGTATGTTTATAGTGGTATTTGTTGTAGTAGAAGTGGTTGATTGTAATTTCATTTTCATGGTGTCTGAATAGTGAATATCAGTAATAAATAGTACTACTGAAAAATGGTAGCAAAAGGGAGGGTATAATCCTTTCGTTCCCCCCTGACCTCCTCCCTTTGTGCCCTGGGGAGAATGGGGCCCCAGAGCTATCAATATATTCAGAGAGAGACATCAGAATTCAGTAGTGGTAGTAGAGAGATAGTATTGAGAGCGAGTTGTCTTCTGTCCTTTTGATATGACCTTTCCTTTTTCTTCTCTCATTTTGTCTTCTCTCTTGATTTGATGCTAATGCCCATCCTATCATTGTTTGTGTAACTAGTATCTAGAGTTATATAGCCTTGTTATTGTTTTACTGGTCTTTTAGTCTATCATCTCCATTAATAAACAAGACAATTATTTTAAGACGGAAAAAAATATTAATTTCAGAGCTGTTGTAATTTTTCTTTACCCAATCCTTTTCTGGAACATGTATAAGTATTGAAAATGTTAAATAGATGTCTAACAAAATTGGACAAACCAAGGCTAATAATGATCCCACAGAGGAGGTGACTCCTTTCTAAATCATATGCAGCTTCGCTGCAAACCCTTCGATGGGCTCTGTTTGTTTGATTTTTTTAACGGTTTTTTCAGTTTATTTTATTAATAACTGTCTAATCTCAACATATCTTTTTACATTTCCAATAAAAAAATACTTAAAAATACACACTAAAAAAACGAAACAAACATACAAGAAATATAGAATGGTGTTCATACAAGTGATCGTGTGATCGTACATTCAAAATTTTTGCATGGTGTGATCGCGTACATACAAGTGTCATCATGGTCAATAGAAATATAGAATCATCTAATGTCATTCTACGAGTACTAATGTGGATTTTAATAAATTTTGATCTTATCATTTACGAAGTGTTTTTTTAACCCTTGATAGTAAAACATTATCTTGTAACGATATTGACCTTCTTACCGAGTAAAAAGCTCTTGATGATATCTATACAAGTTGCATGACACCTAAATGTTGTCTAGTATAGTGTATCAACTTACAAGTCAAGTGTTTAGAGACTTTCATTTGTACCAATTATCCCAAAAATTGTGTGACACAACTTATTTCTGTGACATGATTTATTTGAAGCGTATGATAAAAGGATAAAATAAAAGAAGGCTCCTCTCACCCATTCTGAATCATCTACCTATTTCTTCCTTTTCACTCAGAATTTTTTGCACCCAGAGAATGAGAGAATGCCCTTTCTGGTGCCTGAAAACTGAAAAGATAAAGGTAATGACTTATGAGTTTTGAGTCTTGTTGCAATTATCTAAAGAATTTTAATCTTTTAATTCAGAGTCTTTAATACGTAGTATCTGAGAGTTTTCAGCATGTGCAACACATAGAAGATGGAAAATTACTGAATATAGAAACAATCATAATAAAAGGCTAAACTTAAAAAAATCTATCAGCCCTTTAATTAATTCAATTCGTTACACTCGAAAAATTGATGAATTTTAGCTGCATTTGATTCACTCTTCATGGCTCCCGTTGATGATGGTTTCCTTGTTTGCATATACTTAAGTAGTAGTAGTAGTACTGGAGGGCCTCTTGCTCACAGATGAAGCTCTTCTTCCTATGATTCCACTGTGTTTATGTGAAACACCTGCATCCCTTAATGGAGGATCCTGCACTTTCTGCAATTGGATTCCAACAGCTCTTAAATTTTTAGACAGTGAAGATTATTCTGTTTTTGTCTCGTCAGCATTAACTCATTAGGTAAAAATGAAAATGCACTTCTCAATCGAGAAACAAAGGGTGAAGGACCAGTTCAAAGCACTGTTAAGTTACTGGTTATTTAATGACCAGACAGTCTGAAAAAATAAGAAAACGAGAAATTCCAGGCTGCAAAGCCTGCATTCAGCCCATGATGATTGGCTTTTTTTTTTTTTTTTTAATTTACCTGTGGAAAAGTTTTTACCACTTTCATTTGTGCAGAATCTAGATTTTATTTCAAAGTTATAAGAATGAGTCAATTTGTCCTGACAATTAGTGTTTGCAGTAATGTCTGGTTTTTGTGATTGTTCAATCATGTCCTAGTAGAATCCCTGACGGAAGGCTTCTACTCAGGAAAATCCCAGCTTTGATTTGTTGCTTAACTTAGTTGGATGAACTAGCATTGAGAAAGTGTGGAATGATTATCACAAATAAATATCAAAACAATAGAGTATGAAAAACAATTGAGGAATGGAGGAAATAGAGCCGTACCATATGCCTAAGAGCCATGTCCAGCGAACTCTTTGACATCAATCTTCCAAAACCAGAACTTTCATTGAGTGAAGTATTGAATTTTGTGTTGTTTTGCCTCGCTTCAATGCTTGACATCCTTGCATCAGATCCCTCGTTCATTGAACTATTTAATTTCATCTTTGTTTCCTTCAGCGGTGCATTGAATTTTGTGTTGTGTAGCCTCGTTTCGACATTGGACTTCCTTGATTCAGAGCCCTCATTTAATGAAGCATTTAGTTTGATCTTGGCTTGTCTTGCTTCAGTTCCAGACATCCTGGCATTCATGAACTTGTCCAACATTCGGCTGCCTAATACCTGAGTTCGAGTCCTGTCGTTCTGAGAGCCTAAAGTTCCATCCATGTCCTGTTTGCGCCCCTGAATGGATGCTGCGGATGATGATTGTGTCCTGGCTTTATTGGCTGATTCTGATCTTTTTTGTGAAATTGAGGAACTTTTCTGGCTAGCAGTGGAACGTGGACGAGAGGCTGAAGTTGATCGATCAGTCCTTAGATTAGGAGGAGTTCTATCTGATAAATCTGCAATTTGAGCTGGAATTCGTGTCTTTAAAGGAGGCGACACACCCCTACTCTTCGGCCTGGTTGTTTTTGTGCTTGAATCCACCCCTGCATTCATGCTTTTCGAGAGATTGGTGCTTTTCGAGAGATTGGTAGTCGTCAAGTTCCTATTCACTTCCTTAATATTCTCAGCTGTTTTCAGTGTTGTGGAGGAAGACGCCATTTTGGGATTGCGGTCAAGGTTATGATCATTGTAGGATTGGTTCAGTTTGTGGCTCATAACTGGTGCACTTTTTACATTTTTCTTCTCAGGTAATGAAACTGCAGGCCTTCCAGTTGGAGTGGAGTATCTCATGGGAACTCTTGGCTTCACAGCATTGGATTTTGCTGGTTGAATATTGTTATCAGTTTCAGCTTCTGAGATGCCTGAAAACTGATGCAATCAAACTTTTACTACAAATCTACAAATACAAACTTCACGGTGAACAAACTGTTAAGCTAGAATTCGAAGATCGGGTACTGTTGAAAACTTGAAACATAATAACATACCCTTGAAAGAGGATGCACTATTGGCAATTCCCTCTGAGTGACTAGTTCAGGGCCGTGTGTTTCCATGTCAAGTGATGGAAATAGAGGCGTGGCCGGCGGAGTTTTTAACCTTTTGGGAAACATATAAACACAGAATTTGTCAAAGATTAGTAGGATTGTGTTGATAATTTCGAATGGCAAGCCAACCTGATAGCCACAAATACATTATTTTTAAGGTGTGTACTTACCAATCATAGTCATTTTTCCCATTGTCAGAAAGACCATGATCATGGCCCTTTTTCCCTGATTGTGCCATTCCATAGAGCGCAAAATGTCCTGCAAAGAAGTTTTTAATTAACGAATCCAATCTGTACAGATAAAACACTTCTCTGTATCTGTTATTATACTATGTGTTCCAACTCTTCAAACTTACCATTGGCCTCAAACTCATCAGAAACGGGCTGGAGAAGACTAACTGCCCGGTTGTTTTCGCGCTTTTGCATCTCCCTGAACAGCATAAGATCTTCATCCTTGTCTCTAGTACCAATCGGCCTTGGTCCGGGCATCTTTTTACGTGCTCCAACACCATCTCCTGCTCTTTTGTTCATAGTTTTTTCGAAAACAGAACTATAACGATCTATAACACTTTTTTGCTCTTTCCCCTTTATTCAAGTCTTCTTTTCTTATGTAGTTTATAGAACTGCGGACTACACTATGCTAGAATCTTGTTGCATCCAAACCATCCCCATCATATATAAATATAAATACAATCATCTTTTGCTAGAGCAAGTTCAAGTTCACTGGCCGGCTGCCTATGCATTTTTAGGTAACCCAGATAGAGACAGAGAGAAATGTTTTAGTATATTTCGCCTTCCAGAAAACGACTGATTCTGGTGTCAAATTTAGCGACATTTGGCATCTCATAACCAAACTTGATAGAGTCGACACATCTGTGATTGCCATATTTTTGCTTGTAGTTTTTGAGCATCAGGCAACCAATTCAAGCCATTAAATTGAGCTTTCATTTTAATTTCTGAGGGAACTATATTTTTCATTGTGATCTGGCTTTTGATAACGTTTGCAATTATAACTGAAGGAAGGTGTAAGACTAAAACGACTTGAACTTTTGACCATCTACCAACTGGCACAGCTAACATCCTCTCATCTATCGTTTTCGGGTTATTAAAAAAAGACTTATTTCAGAACCAAGAGAGTACATGTTATTTGAAAGCACATTATATAGATCTTGGTGTTCATTAGATACATTAAACTAATATATTATCACTTCAATTAGTGCCACTTTCCGATTTCTCTCTTAGTTATTCCCCTCTTCTTTTTCTTCAAGCCTTTTTTCTGATGTTCTTTCTTCCTCACTTGGCAATTTGGATTTTTTCCCACAAAGAACAAACTACTATAGAAGACACTTTAGGCAAGGCCCATGTAGTTCTCATGTTCAGTAAAGCAATAAACTCAAAGAATTTAAATTGATGCAGATTCCAAAACTGATTGATTAAGATATATACAGAAAATGCTACTGAAAAAAGTACCAATTTTGGAATGCAAGATGGCACCATGCATGCATGATGATCAAATTCATATCTGCATCATAAATTACTTTAGCATAAATATCATAATGCTCTTCATCATAAGTACAATAACTATATACTCATTGAGTTCACTGTTAACTAATAATTCTTCAAGGTTTTAGTTTGGTCTTAAATAGTCAGACAACTATAAATTAAAGGATACTCTATCAAAAAGTACTTTAGTGATTTGAGTACTCAACGCAACTTCAGCCAAAAAGGTTCCTAACGATTTACACTCAACAACTGGTTTTTGTGTACTAATTCCTCAGCATCAGATTTTTGGACCTCTTGAAATGTAAATATCTCCATATGCCACCTTCTGCAGTACTCTTATGGAGTCTTCAGTAGCAAGAACTGCTCAGGAAAAGTAGCAGACTTTAGTTTTGCGAAAGAACCAGATACACCTACTTTATCCAATAAGTCTGAGAAGGATAGAAATAGAAATGAACTTACCACATGTCTGATAAAAAAGTGATGCTGCCCGTTTCCTATCCATTCCATGAGCGAGCGCATTCAGGGATTCTACTTCAGGAGCCCCTGGTGTCTCAAAATGAGCCTTTAGCTGCCTGTGGTGCCAACCGTGTCCCAAATGACTACAAGTTGTGATAAAAAAAAGCAGAAGGAACCAGAAAAAAAAGGAAAGGTTAAAGAAGTGTTACATTCTGATGGAGTTAGTGATTGGATCAGCAGGTTGACTCATGTCAGGATTTTTTCGGGTCCGTTTTGGTCCAGAATCTGACATTGGATCTGCAGAACCAAAATCGTGTTACAGGCATTCATATAAGTTTTCAAACCACCATAATATTGTTTGGAAAGCGACGGCTTTTCTAGGGTAACAGACCATTTTCATATTCCCTTGCCAACTTCAAATTAGGATCAGGATGTTGCCATGAATTCTCCTCATCAACCGGTTCAAGGCCAATATTAATGTGTCCGTTGGGAGAGTAAGGCCTTTTCTTGCTCGACCTGACATTTATTCAATACATCAGCTCCATGTGACAATAACTTTTTGCAATCTGCAGGTTATAATTTGATACTTACTTGGAGGAATTGTTTTCCGAAGTATGTGAATGGAAACCATGTCCAGATCCTGAACTTGGGATGGATCTTGCGCTGTCACCTATGAATTTCAAATCAAGCGGCAAGGTGTTAGATAATTAGGGAATGGAAAATATTTATCACTCCAGATGACGTGCATTATTAAAAACAGCAGATATAGACTCTAATACTGGCTTACTTGAAGTTCCTGGTGTGGCAAATGGGTTGATCTTATCAATGGTTTTGGTTCTAAGTTCCTCCATAAGTATCCCAGTTTGTGGGTTATCATTGACATTTCTCCGCTGCTTCTCAATGGAAACTTTCTCTAGGACAGAACCAAAATCATCGCGAGAATCTTCAAAGGGCTTCATGTATGACAGTAACAGTTAATAGCTGTGGACTCTTTGTGTGGCTAAAGTTAAAAGTTAGGTAGCAGTATCTTACAAATTCAATAGGGTCTTGAGTATGATTTCCTTCTGATGAGGCTGTAATTGATGGTTGAGAACCTTCAGAACGTTGGGATGTCGACGTTGGGCCTGTATACAATAACAAAGTTAATATTGGGAATAAATTCGAATGGAGCACTTCACCAATCACAAGAAAGACCTCACCAAAATGAGCATTATGCAGTGGCTGGGTACTTTTTCTCCATAGTTCCAGGAGAGGGACCGGGAAATACACTTCTGCATCCCCATATTTGTATAATCCTTCAACTAGTACTATTGGAGGAAGTTCCATGAGAGTTGCTATCTTCTTTTTAGTCATCGCATTCAAAGTCTGCAGCAAACATAAATAAAATGCATGACCGCAGAGAACTGTAGAGTTGGTGGCCTATACCGCCATAAATTCAATAGGGTACGGGAACAATAAATGCAAGTATTAAATTACTGTCACCTAAGGAAATCCATCTACTTTTTTTGGCTCAGGGAAAAATGTTGGAAAATCAATCATTTGTAAGCTCAATGCTGATCTTGACAGGAATAAGCAGTTTCCTTTAACGCAGAACTAACTTATCCGACAATTAGGGCAAACCTTTTTGCTTCTGTTTCTTTTTCTGGAGGAAATATCAGAGGTGTCCTGAAGCCAAGACTGGTATACGTGACCAGGAATAATGGTATGCTCATCATCGAAAACCAAAGCAGCACGCCTTCTCCCTCTCCTTCGGTTTACACCCTGCCTAAGATGATTTTGCTGATACATGCATAGTCAGACTGTGCACCATAGAATCATCTGTATTGTCTGTTAAAGCACTCGTAACTCAATGAAGATTACAATACCTGAGGAAATTCCATATCCACAACAGGGGGCATATTCACTTGGTCATTTGTGTGTTGCTCCAAATTTTCATCACCTGTAAGAATTTTAATAAATAGCATAATAGACTGAAGTCTTCCTGTAATTATCTGCTCTATGCTTACCATCAAGGGGTTTCTCTTCTGGACGAGGAGAGGGTATAAGAGTAGTTGGAATTGCAGTGTTGTCTTGACTTGGGATGTTCCAATTTGTATCCTCATCCCCCTCAATATCAAACCTGCCGAACAACCATTTAATCAGTGATAGTTGAGCAAATAATAAATGCCGAAATTCTAAAGCCAAAAAGCAGCTGGACAAGTAAGCTGCAAACTATGACCTCTAAGAACATCATATTAAGAAGTGAGGCACTCCTAGTGAGAACATCACCTTTCGAAGCGGTTAAAACTTATTGGGCCTTCCGTGGTTAGATCAGGAATGTCGACCATAGTGATGTCAGCAACATCAGCTGATTATTGAATAATGACCAGGCAAATCCATCAGTCCAGTGAAAGACTTCATGAAGCAATGATGTCTGTGTAATCCCTACAATGAATGTAGTAAATGTAAACAAATGTACCTTGATGAGAATCGTCTGCTGGATTCTGATTGACAAAGGGATCGTCCACGCTGTCCAGTCTCTGCATATCCTTAAATTCTTAGAAATAATTCTTCTCCAAGACTAAGATACACATGATTTACTATAACTATGCATATTTGTAACCCACACCACAAATGCAATGGTTTATGAGCTACCCTATAACATATTCATGCTGAGTGCAAGTGACAACAAGTTAATGACTTACTGAAACTGGAAATTTTCAAAAGGATGACAGTGGGAAATGCTCAAGTCCAAGGAAATACCATGGCAACATAGTTGGTTTGTGTAAACTTCATCATTGTTGGGGTTTCATTAGTAAAACGGAGAGACTGGTCGAGGTCTCCAAGGTCATGGTCCTGGTTTTCAGGCAGAGTGATGGATTTACGTCTGCAAATTGACACCAACCAAATTACTGAAAATCAGAACTAATAAAAGAAAAAGTGCAGGAAGTAGTGAGCTAGCTATTAAATTCAGGTTGTCCTTTGAGTAAATCAAGATCGAACACACTAGCAAATGAATAATGAGATAATATGGACTAACTTGGCTTGAGATCTGGACTTGGGCAAAACCGTGGGATCTGGCTCAACCTGAACCTTCCAAGCTTGATTTAATTCAACCTGGGATTGTTGAGTTGCAAACAGAAACTCCACAAGTTTACAAAAAACTGTAAAGCAAAAGGAAAAGGGGAAATGGAAATTATGGAGGCCTGAAGTTTTACCAGAAGACGGTTCACATCATCTGCAACAACAGAACCAAACAAAACACAGAAACCAATTTCAGGCCGTAATCGACAAATTCAATGAAGATTTAGGATTCAATAAACTTTGCTTATTCGAAATCATATCAGCAATTTACCGAAAAGAAGCTTGACTTTTCTTTCGTAGACGATGACGACTCCACCTGAATCACAGAACAATATAAATCATCAACTCGGAACCAGAACATTCAGGCGAAACAGAGAACCCCAAAGAAAATTCGAAGTGGTTTTGAGCCGTAAAATCATTTTACCCATGAGAATTCCAGAGAGCCTGAGAGCCATTGGAACTGACGGATTCATAATCTCTTCGCTACAACCGATTTAAGCACAAACAAAGACAAGAAACGCACAAATTAGAGCAGAAAATCGATTTATAGTCAACAAAAAGGCCAGAGTGAAATGAGATGATCGAGAAGAAACAATTTCGTCGAACCAGATTTTGATGATGTTAAGCTTAACAAGATCCTTCCGATTGATTTTCCCCTTCATCGTTGCCGCCATCCTTCAAAAAAAAAAACACCAAGAGAAAGGATAAGAACAGGGGAAGAAATTTGAAAACCGAAAATTCAAACAATTCGAGACGCTAAGAAGAATATCCATGAAATTGAAGGAGTAGCGATTCACCAAATCTGGCCTAATGGAGCTTTTCGAGCCAAAAGCTGCCTTGAGTAAAACATTTTTTGGTGAGCAGGGTCTCGTCACTGTGTGAGTGTGTGTGATTTTGATTTTTTTTGAAGGCACAACTACTACTACTACTAGAACAAAAGAAAACAGTACTCGTGTTTCTTGGAGAGGAAGGAGGGGGGGTTTTTAAACTCTGTTTGTGCCACTGTGTGAGTGTGTGTGTTTTTGTGCACTTTTTGGATTTGGGGTTTTTGGTCTTGACAGAAACAAAACGCATAACCGAATCGTGAGGGGTGGGAGGCGCCAATCCTAACAGAAGTACAGAGCGGGAATTAAAATAAATTGGATGTTTTCGTCCATGTGGGGTGAATGATATTGTGTGATTCTAGAGTTACGGTTGAAAATACGCACGATTTGTTACTGTCCTCTGTGTTTCTTACACGTGTCCTTTCCGTTTGATTTCTGGAATGCCGATGGTGAGTTTTGCAGTAGCAACCAGCTAGATAATTTGCCTGTGGTGAATGAATCCCATTAAGCCGTGTTTTTACGAAGTTGGTCATGGTGCTTTTATTTCAGAAATTCTCTTTTGTTTGTACACATAGAACATAATTTTGTAATAAAATTATGTCTTCTTGTTATTGTTCATACGACTAATAAAAGATGAATTCTAGTATTAAAAATACACCTACTGTCGCTACTACGTGAATGTGAGGTGTACTTTATACTTAGTTCACACAGTGCGTGCACTTTTGTACTGTGGTCAATCAGAGATCTTTTCCAATTTCTAGTGCATTAATCATAATGCAATGTGAATCTGTGATATTCACAATATCTGCGTCTCTGATCACATATACTACGTTATTACGCAATGGTGAATGGTCAGCACATTACACGCTTTTCGCTCTCACACCCACGCCTTCTCCATCCTCCCAAGTCGCCCAACAGAAAATGTTTAAATCAATGGTACCCGTACCAAACTCAATGGTCAAGTTTGTCATGTTGCTATATGCTCCCACAACACAACAAAGGCCTAGCCGGTAAAATCTTACGTTTTTTCAATACAATGTATTTTATATAAGAAATGTAAAAACGTGTATTTTTAATATTAGATTGTTTCATGTCTAGCATATTCGTAAAAAATTATTCGGGGGGTGGGGGGTGGGAGTTTTCAAACAAAGCCGTGCCTCCATTAAGCAATAGCCCCTCATTTACCTTCCACAAATTCAGTTTAGTTTCTTTTTTATTACTATTATTATTATACATACACCACTTCTTTACAGTTTTTTTGTTTAATTTTTTTTACCTACCTTAACCACATTGGATAGAGTTGGTGAAATTTATTAAGAGACATTTGATAGTGTTTGTGAAATTTATCATGACAATAATTTCATATTCTATGTTAATTACATTTGATAGGGTTATTAATATCAACTCTAGAATTCATATTTTATATTTCTATATTCTATGTTAATTGCATTCCATATTCTACTAGCGTACACATTTATACTAAAAAATAGTAGTACAAAACTCAATGTGGACTATTTTTTTTGGGACGGAGGTAGTATATGATATTATTTGTAACCAAATTCATATTGATGACTAAAAGATGGATTCTTGTTATGAACATTATGCAAAATGAACTATACTTAATCATCAACTAAAGTTTGATATATTGATTGCTCCCGTGGGGTACTCTTATTCTACTTGAGAAATTGTAACTCAAATCATATGAAAGGCAAGACAAATATGGGGTGAAGACAACTAAAAAGAATTTCATTTGGAATGTGCGTAACTTCAAAATCATATGGGTTAAAATTAACATTTAATAACCTCATAAACTGAAGTGAAATTCAACCGGAGGACTTTGGGCCTAATTCCGCCAAATTTTGTTGCTGCAGCAGCCTGCAGGACCGGAGAGAAGAAGATAGCGATGCTCCGAGGTGGCTCCTCGGCGGCTGCCCGTGCCTTCCGGTGTCTGAACAGCCGCCATAACCGCCAAATTCTTGTTTCTCAATTTTTCTCATTCTTTCTCGAACGCCCCCCACAGTTTCCGAAGTTACAGCAATGGCATTAATAACTGCAGTTATTCGCGGCTTTCACGGTACTCTCTGCCGTCTTACTCCACCGTCGCCGGCGCCGGCGCGAGCCATGAAAAGGCTTCCTCTGAAGTTGATTCCGGTGAGCTAGAGTTGCAAACAGAGGTCTCGCCACACTTGCGAACTGGATTAGACGGGGAAGCTCTTTTGGCCTTTTTAGCAATAGAGCTGGCATTGGATTCTGTGGTGAAGATGTTCACTGTTACAAGTAGCCCTAACTATCATCTCCCATGGCAGAACAAGTCACAGCGCGAGACGATGGACTCTGGTGTGTAGGACTCAGCTGAATTGTGTTAATGAACATGTGGAAAATTTGCCAATTAGTCATTTTGTTGAATCCATCATATCGTGATAATGTGGACTCTAACTTAAAATTGTTAAAAATGTTCTATATCGTATAAGTACAATCTCTTACGATGTCATTTTGTTGCAGTTACGTTTCCTTGCATAAGCATGTATTAATGCTGTCATGATGATCGAATTTCATATTTTTCATTTTGTATTGCTTGGATCCGAGTGTGAATTGTATGTTCTTTAATCGGTTATTGTAATTGGGGCTCATTGCAGGCTTTGTTATATCCGGGAAGAGAATCCTCACAAATGCTCCTGTGGTGGCCAATCTCACAGGTACAAATGTGAGATTGGCACATAAGTTTGGAGTTTGGTGAAATTCCCTATCTTCAAGAAGCTGTCTCTGTTGTTGGTTATCCTTGAGGTAAACATGTGAATGGCACATAAGTTGAATAGACAGAACAAAGGGATTTATATTGATGCATCAAGTGAATGTAGCCATGATTCTAAAAGGAAATTTGTGGGTTCTTCTGACTCCAGGAGGTGATAGCATTTCTGTTGGGTTTGTTTCTAGAGTTGAACCCACACAGTATTGTACATGGTGCAACACAGCTATTGGCAGTTCAGATCGATGCTGCTATAAATCCTGGGAACAGTTGAGGGCCTGCATTCATGGGTGATAAAGTTGCTGGGGTGGCTTCCTAAAATCTGTCAGGCGCAGAAAACATTGGGTGAGTTTATAGACTTGTGCACATAACTTGTGAAATTATTAGACAGAAGCAGTTATTTCTTTCCAGATTTAAGTTAAAAGTTGTCTTCCAAAAATCTTATAACTCGAGTAACATAATGCAACTTGTCTCTTGGTATTGAAATTCACATGAACTTGAATTTGATATGAGATGCTTATATGTTGAAATCAGTTCTAATTTTTATTTTAAATGATTTTCAATTCAGATACATTATTCCTGTCCCTGTGATAAAACATTTCATAGCTGGTGTTGAAGAAAGGGAAACTATAAAGGATTCTGCTCCCTGGGTCTGTCATGTCAAGCCACTGACAATGTACAACTTGGGGAAAACTTTGAAGTGAATCCAGGTTTGACAGGAGTGCTGGTTAACAGGATTAAATCCGCTCTGTGAGGCACATAAAGTTTTGAAGAAAGATGATATTATCCTCATTTGATGGTGTACCCATTGCAAATGATGGAACAGGTACAATTGTTTACTTTTTTGAGTTTGAGGTCGCATCTCTTTGAAGCACATTTGTTTTCTGACTCTTACCTGAAATGGAACACCAAATCATTCTAAAAATCCATTCTTAGCTAAGGATGTGGCTTTATTATTGGGTGAAAAGACATGAAGCTTGCATTGTGCTTTATCTGTGCAACATACCATAGTCTTGTATTAGATTCTTAACTCTATTGACTTCAAAAGGCCCCTAATTTTGTTTTAGAGCGACAAATGCTAGTGAGATATAGGCCTAAATCTGATAGGCAAAAACTTTACCCCCTTCTAGCTTTGGATATTTGTTTAAAAGAAGAAAATAAGTTTTGGATCAGTTTGAACTTAATAGTACCATGATTGGGATGGAACATCTTCAGAGCCTAGTCGTGGTTGTAGTTGTTGTGTTAGTACCATAAAGTGTTTGCTTCTTGTTGTGTTAGTACTATAACATTAATTTTCTTCCTCCTTTTTTTTTTTGGGTTTGTGAAAAGATTTACTCTTTCTTGGGCTTGTGTGGTTGTAGGCCCCAGCCATAATCTTGAGCGGGTGTTCTCGAATGTGTTGCTTGATATTGTTAACCCTATCTTGAAGTCTTTTCTAACCAGATGAATGACTCAACCTTTTAGCTTACAATGCTCTATTGATCTTTTGCAGTTCCTTTCAGGGAGCAAATTACGTTTGATAATTTAGTTTCCATGAAGAAACCAAATGAGAGCTCTGCACTTAAGGTGTTAAGGAATGGTGAAGAGCATGGGTTCAATGTGGTCCTTACACCAGTAAGTTACTGCAACTCTTTGCCATGCAATGAATCTATTTCCAGATCTCTCAGGGGAACAACTCGTCATTCTCTCTCAGGTTTTTATGCTCTCCCAATTTCCCTTTTTCCAGATCTTCAATAACCAAAATGGTATTGCTGTCATTGACTTGTCAGAAAAGGAAAAATTACCTAATAGGAAAGGGAAGGAGAAAAGTCAGGACGAGTAGTTGTCATTATAATAGTACAGATGAATTTGTTCAAATGATGCTCATTATGTTGAGTTCCATGAGAACATCTGTTAGATAGTATAAGCTCTAACGTTTTTTGATGTGTTATCTGCTTTTAATAGTTGGCTTCACTTGATAAATTAACTTTTTGTTTGCTCATTACGATCTCTTATTAATGAAAACTGAAGTAAAAAACACAAAAATTCGCCTTTAGCTTTCAACCAGTCTTTATTGGTTCTATTTCGTTGTTCCCTTTTTTCTTAGTGTTTTCTTTGTGGCTGCAACATTGCAATTTGCTATAAGCTCAAACGAAATGCATAGGACCTGGGGGAGACAGGTGTGTTTCTAAAGCTCTAGACAAAGGAATAGAGTTGTCGAATGTTCATAAATCGACATGAATTTGCTGAACTTGATTGTAAGGTTGTAAAATGTTCACATTAATGCATGTATAGTAAAATTCAAAAGAAGCTGGGTTCTGTAAAGACAAGCTTATCTCCAGAATATGTTTACATTTTCAAGTAATCAGCCCCAGTCCCCCAGATATAGTAATCCTCTTTTCATATTTAAATCTTTTCTGCTTTAGACAACGGGGGCTAAGTAAATGCAAAGCAATCTTATTTTGTAATCTTGCTCCTTAAAAGGATTGGTGCAGTTTTTCTTGTTGTAAAACACTAAAACTAAGCTATGACAATCACTCTTAGGTTACATTGGTGAGGCAGATTCCATGAATATTCATAAATAGCAAAAACATCAGGAAAATTCTGTTTTCTGGTCATCTTTTAGCAATGTTACCTGGAAGTATTTTAAGTTGTAGTTGTCCCCATGATATATCTTATCTATGTGCACCATGGTTATATATAAATCATGTATGTGCCTTTTCTTTGCAGAGTCTAGGTTCTGGAACAGAGAAAAGGCGTATTTTAGAAGTGTATGAGTTAATTCCTTTCCACTAAGCGAACTGTGTGATTTAGGTACTCATTGATGAAATCAACACTGGTTATGAGCAGTTGAGTCACAGGTACTGTGGTTCTAACTTTGAAAATGCCAACTCAGCAGTTCCTTTTGTTTTCCATCTTCCGCTCCATTGAAGTGTTTATGAACTCGAATCAAGTTGCATTGATTTGATTTACAGAAGCACGAAAGCAACATGTCTAGGGACTTCGAGATACCTTTCATGAGCATCATCTGCTTTGTCATGCATATCAGCATGAAGTTTCAATGTTTTTTTTTCATGTTTTTGTACTCAGCCTTTTGTATCGATGATGCGTACTTCGCATTCATGAACTTTCGGTCGCACTTCATAACCACTTGAAAATGAAGCTCGGGAAAAAGCTTGAGTCAGCATCAAAACAGAGCTGACTTCCATTACATTCATGAACATTTTGTTTTTGTTTTTGTTTTTTTTTTCTTATTACATTGATCTGTTCCTGCTAGACTATGTGCATAGCTGGTCAATGATGTATTTGTCTCTAGATGTTGCTTTACTATCATGACAGAATCCTCTGATTGCAATTTCTTCCTTCATCTTCTGCATAACTTGATCCTCTGTCCTGCTGCTTTTCTGAAACAACCTACTTTTTGTTTGTTTTCATGATTTCATTTGTGAAGCCTGATTCTCTTGTTGAAATGATGTTCTTTAAAATTTTTGAGCAGGTGAAGAAGGTGAATAATGTGGAGGTGTTATTGCAATATTTACGGCAACTCCTGGAAGATTGCGAAGAAGATAAATAAGATTTGATTTAGACGATGAAAGGGTGATTGTTTTAAATTATAGCAAGGCAAAATTAGCCACTTCTCGTATACTGAAACGGCATAGAATACCTAAACCGGTGTCTGGTAACATTTTTGATGCTCAAAAATGTGTCAAATACTGAGCTGGCATCTTCAAGTTGAGTTCTTTTGATTTATTGTTTTTTACTATTAGGCTGTTAGAGTGCTTTGATTTTTTTGGACGTTTTTGGACCATCTGTAAATTTAATATTTGGAATGGCAAGTTTCTCTTTCATTAAAACTACCTTAGAATATGACAAAAGTTATATATTGAATTTGCGTGGAAAACACTACCCCTATTAAGAAGATTTTCCTAGTCATTCTCCAAATTGCTTATAATCTAACCTAGATGCTTGGCCCGGCAGATCCGGGCGCCCTTTTACTTTAATTTTGTGTTAATAGATAAATAAATTCTTGATTTGGAAAAAATAAAATAACTACACATTTAGTTTTTTTTCCTTTTTTAGCCAAGAATAAAACTAAAAATAAAAAAATCATCTCCCAAAGGAGAAAAAATATTAAAAAGTACAACCATGCAGAAATCATACAAAAGAATGTGGAGTAATAAAGGGGATAAGTTTATGGGCAAATTTAAATGCTATTTTAATTTGATTGATAAATGAAAAATGTTAGGAGTTAAAATTGTGTAGCTATTTTTGTAAAATAGCTTTTGTTTCTCCAGATAAGGATTTTTTTTTTTTTTTTTAAAAAGGATGACACGTGGCAGAATAGTTAATGCAATATGGTGCATTTGGAGCAAAAAATTTTTAATGAGAAGTTGCCACATCGACATCCTGTATTCTGCTTTAATAGGGTAAAAGGGATTCCATGCATGATTACATGGCTACATAAGAAATTAAACTATAATTCGCAGACAATAATCCAAAATAGTCCACATAAGACGGAAAATACAAATATCAAATCTTAATGTAGACTATTTCTTTTAGAGACAAGAAGTAATATAATAATAGAAAAACTCCGGACACATTATACTTTCAAGATAATAATTTATCATATCAAGGATTGTTTCCAAAGGTATAGAAAATCATACAAAAACTATGAAGTAGGAAATGTCTTCCCATTTCAAACAAACAAATACTCCCCGAATAAAGTACTCTCTCTGTCCCAAAATTATTATCGAGTTTGAGATTTTACTTTTATTACAATTTGAACTAAAAATGAAAACTCAAACTGGACAATGATAATTATGGGACGGAGAAAGTACATGATTGCCAATCTAAGAAATAGGTTCATACATTCACATGCACCATCCTTAAGAGGCTACCAAGCACCAAATATCAACTTCGACCTAGCAAACCCTTGGCATCGTCTTCAATTTATTTTGCTGTTTTTTTTTTCTATCATCTTCATGGAGGATCAATTTTGGACCCTAGTCTGGTATCGTAATTAACTTCTTCTTGTGCTTCTCTTACATCTTGATTAAGAAACACCACCTCCGACCCACGGGCACTTACAAAGTATCCTTAACACAAGACAGGAGAGCAACACAGGAGGACTTGTCAGGAAGGAGGGAAGAACAAAAAAAAAAAACAAGATTGATCATGACATGTATGAATAAAGCCAAAGAGGTTTGCTTTCCAAAATATACCACTGATGTGACCACCAAATTTACCGCCTTTACCCGACCTAATGCGGGATCTGGCATCTAAAGCAGCACCGGAGATTGCTGATTTTAAAAGCACAACAGCTTGATCAAAGGACAGCTCATCAAAAGCCCTAAACAAAAAAGACCAACAATTGAGAATGGTTAATATGACAAAGTAATCATTTGATATACAATGAAGCGAAAAGAGGTTTACCAGACTTGAATAAAACCACAAGTCCATAACCAATCTGAGAACCAGATCCAATGGCACAACTTTTCCTTTTTTCCAGATTATCCTCATTGTTCATGAAATACAAGCTAGCACCCTACACAACGGCATAGACTGAGATTCAACAAGAGTAACAAGAGCTGAAGGAACATCCTTGAAACTGAATTCAACCTAAAATTTGAAAGAAGGAAGTGATATTTACATTTTCGTCGTCCCGCCCAGCAATAGTTAATCCCATTAACGAATCCTTATCATCGCAAGAAGACACCATGTCAGCCACCCACTTTGATGCCCCTCCAACGGAACGTGTTCTTCCTTTTGCGACTTCATGTTGGCAGTACTAGTATAACAAAGTGAAAAAATACACATCAATCTCCCCGGAAACAACAATTTGGGAAAAAGTCAGTATCCATGATTAACAATTCCCACATTTCCCAGAAATACAAACTATACACTAATCTCGGACAATTTCGATAAAGTGATCTCTAGCTAGCAAAAAGGACCCAAAAAGAAACACATAAATTGGAGCGCAGAGTTTCGAGAGAAGACAAATAGTCTGCAGTTCCAGTATAAGCGACGAGGAGGTGACGATTGAGTTTAACAACATTATCAACAAATAACGTGTTTGGATTTAAAATTATCAGCGAGTACTAAGAAACACATAACGTGTTGGATTTAAAATTATCAGCAAGTACTAAGTTAGTAGTAGTAACATTTGTAGATAATAAACATATATACCGATAATTAGGTCAATAGATAACTTGCACACTTGGCTTATGATCAGTAGCTAACATAACCCCAGTTTCGAAAACAAAAGCCAACGTAGTGGCCGCGGTTTTGACTGTCTTGAGTTTCGGCTTCCACTTCATCAATTCTCGAGAAGATTTCTTCTTCTTCTTGAGCGAAGAAGCTCCAGGCTTCAATTCGGCGGAAACAGAAGTTGTGGTTGCCTTTACTTCTTCATCGTCCAACTAACGACACCAGCGCAAAAGAAGAAGAGGAAATCAATCATACACACACACACACACACGAAAAAAACTCCTTTCAGGATTTTGAGCTCAGCGGAACACAATTCGTAGAAATCCCTAATCTGAGGAAAGATGTTTTACCTTCTTCGCAGTGGGCTCCTCCTCCTCCGCCGATTTGCTCTTCTTGCACGCCACCAAGGGCTCCTCCATTGGCTTAGGCACCATTACCTCTCTGCTCTAGTCTCCGTAGGCAGATTGATGATGATTAACGTAGTGCATAAGTTGTTTGTGGATGAGGGACAAATAATAGATGTATAATGTCGTATATAACCAACAATTGGAAATATCCATTTAGTTGAAAATTAGAAGATAGAACAGTAGAACTGACGAGTGTCGAATGAAAGCGTCTATAGAGACTAAATCTGTAAATAGGAAAAAGTTAGAATAATTAAGTCAAAAACTACTTATATATATAGTACTGTACCGACAATTCTTTGTAGGGCTGTGGTATCAGAGTAATAAAAAAAAATCGTTCCCAAATCAAGAACTCTTATTTTGTTATCCTCTTTCTTTGGTGAGTAGAAAATGGGGAAGTGAAGTAAAATGAGAAAGAGGAAAAATGATGAGGTAGTGAAGGATGAGGAAGAAGGAGAGAAAGGGGAGGAAAGCGTTGTTGCGGAGGAGATTGTAAGATATATATAGACTTTATACACTAATATATATAATTGTATGTTATAAGCTATCATAAAATACTAGCCCACATAAAATGATCTAATTAAATCAATTAAAGTTTGAGCTAATTATAATAATTAAGTTATAAGGTGTGGCCCAGTATTGTGTAGAAACCTTAAGGCCCGGTTTCCTGTCCTGTGATGGATGGAACCGAAAAAATCCTATTATATATTGGTTGTGGCCCCGGATGCGCCGTCATGCCAAATCTCGACTCCCCATTTGTCAGAGGTTCCCGCAAGGCTTGACGGAATCATCTGGAAGACTAAACCGGATCGATGTTCAGATTAAGGTACACTTCCGATTTCATATAGTTCTGATAATCTGATATGAAGGTCTCTATGGTGTATGGATTTAATCCAACAAGTGGTACCAGAGCACCCTTCATATCAATTATTGGAAGTTTGGTTATTTTGTATGTTTAAAGTTCAATCGCGATGATCCAGTTACTGCGTCAGCTTCGGTATGAGATATTTTGGTTCCTCGCAATTAATATTGGTTCATTGCGAATTCAGTTTTGAGAATGTTTTGGTTTTGTTTCGTTAAAAACGATCAATGCTTTACAAATTTGGTTTCGGTAATCAATTTTTAACTTTGGTCGCCAGATCGAGATAATTTGATTTAATAGAGATTTATTTAATCAGACCATTTAGGTTTATGTTTTCACTTTTGCTTTTAGCGATAACTTTTCGGGATTGATTATTTTGGTAGACTGCATATAAAAAAGAGCTTTAGGTTTTCAGTTTTCTTTTTCTGAATCAGTTTTGATCTGTAGAGTTTGTGTTAATATATTCATCAACTAATTGATTATTTTGGGCCATCTTGGTGGTCGTTAATCGATTTTGGGAGTATAGTTGTTGATTTGATCAGTTAAGCAATTTGTACAGTTTGGTTTTATTTGAGTGTCCACGCCAAACAATTGAATCATCAAATTTCCTTCACTAAATTAATTAAGTCTAGAGTACATGGTGATTCGTTGTATAAGGAATTTTGGATGTAGACTAGACAGACTTCTTAAGACACAATATTATTGGGATCAAATCAGTGGGTCAAGGATTTGTTTCCATGAATTTGTTTCGGGCATCAATGAGTTAATCAAAGTTTGTTATGTAAAAAAAAAAAAAAAAGGATTATGGGATTTAGTAAACCTGCAGATTTAAATTGACTTATGGATGCATTTCTTGCGATTAAGATTTCAGATTTTTTTTTTTTTTTTTTTGGCTGCATAGTCCATAAAGTCAATTCGGTTCCGGTTATAGAATCATGATGCAATTGATCAACTCTGTTAGATCAATTTAATTAGTTTGGTTACTGGTTAGGGATTTGCTTACAGCTCATAAATCATCACAAAGATTTCAAGTTTCGATCAGTGTTTCATAAGCACATAATACGATGATTATTATTAAAGAATTATTTTCTATGTCTTCCAGTGTAAAGAGTAAGGCTTAAGACTTGTGAATCAATTTCATTCTCAAGAATGCATGTATTTGGTTGAAGCCCACGAGGTTTCATTTTTTTTTTTTTTTGGCATTTGAGGATTATGGAAATTTTTTCTAGCATGCATATTTGCTTCGGCTTCTACCTAAATCTATTGGTTTTTAATGAATGTAATCACATTGTTGTGTGATATTAATCTAGTTTGATCTACTATGATTTGATCAAATTTGGCGTATACGGTTTAATGTGATTTAAAATCAAATTTGGCATATATATAAAATCTATCTTCAGACATCTTGTATTATTTAAATTGATTGATTAATATAATATGTCGCCAAAGTGACCTCTTTTGTGTTGGTTAATTAATTTAAAATACAAAGATAACAGTTGGGTGTGTTTTGATTTCATGTCGGTAATGATCGGCCCAAAGGAAGTTCATTATTTGGCCGAAATCAAAATATATATATGTGGTAATAAATATGTGGTAGTTATAAGGTTTTTTTATGTGGATAGTAAGTCGGTCCAAAGAAAGGCTTATTATTTGACAGGAATTAATTGTCAATATTTGATTACTACGCCAAGAGTACTACTTGCAAATTGACGTTTCTGTCCAAAGACTAAACCCAATGTTGCACTAGGTATCTTGTAAATGGGAATGCCAATTTGACTTTATTAATCATGTTATATTAAGTTTTAAATGTGAGTTGTATTCGGTTATATTTCAGTATAGTTGATTCCGCTATTACATTTTTCTGCCACTATTAACTCCATTAGGACACTTCTATGTGTAAACTAGAAGGAAACATTAAGAAAAATTAAGGAGCACTATATGAATAATGCAAAATTGTTCCCACAATAAAGTATTTTGTCAAAAATAATAAGGCGGGAACGAGTATTCTTTCAAAAGATCTTGTTTCCAAAAGGTATAAGGAAAGCGGGAACATAAGAAAATGCATTAGTTAAAAGTATCATCTCGAATTAAAATTTAAGGTACTAAAGTAAATAGTTGATCACTTTCATACACAATGGAATTCGGTTAAGAACAGTTTTACTGTTATTAAGTAAAAGGGACCCTTAATGAGTTCATTTCATATTGTGTACAAGAAGGGAGATTAAAGTAAGAGATGAATATACATTTGAAAAATAAAGAAAAATCAATAAGTGCTCAATTAAGTTTAAATCATTTAGAAAATAAAGAAATAGAAAAAGAAGGACAATTAAGTTGCAGTATACAATATCACAAAAGAAGCAAAATTAGGAAATTAAATTTGGTTGCTACTTTTGTGGTGGTGCTTCAATTGTTTAAGGCACTTGCTTTAGACAAATAATAAAGTTAGTCGGAATTCCACTTGACTTATCAGATTTCAAAATCTGAGTTAAGTGCATAAGCGAAACAAACAAACAAAATAAGATTGGGTGGCATAAGATTTTTAGATGTTGTTAAAACTAATACATACGGATATATGTAAACCATTCTTTACGGTCTTCTTTTAGAATGGTCAAGCATATTGTATTATGTTCCCAAACAACTTCCCAGGGCTACCTCTTTACCATTACTGAGAAGTACTATGGTCTAAACTTGTTCAAAGTTTTAAGACTAAATACATTTTATAAACTAATTAAGTATTAGGTAAACTATGTCTATGGTCTGGTCAAATTTCTTAGTGAATATGGTATGTCATATAGTATCACTATGCCGGAAAGTACTATTATGAATAGTGTTATTATAAGACGAATTCGGAAACCAAACGACTAAGTAGTATGACAAGTTCTACTACTTAGTTAAACTCACTAAGAGAAAAAAGATATAAAAGACTGCAACTTAAAGATATAGCAGTGTTCCAACTAAAGTAACAATCCTTGTGGATTATGGACATGCAAATAAGCTAGATAGAGGCATTTTCATATTTTGAGTTATCCGCTTAAGGCAAGGCTGCACCGGTCTACAGAAACGAAACTGGATTCGGTTTGTTTTTTGTTGGATACACTAAAACATAATAAGTTCTACGATCAAAAAATAATCCTTCTTTTAGACGGGAAATATCTATTTTATTGAGAATATTGAGTTTGGAGGGGAAGATAAGGTTAATGACATTGTCTTTAAAGGGAATATTTTTCTATTCATGGTAATCTAAGATAATGTTAAAACTTTTCCTCATCAAGACAATTGTACATGACAAACTCAACAGTCTCAAGTATGGATGCCATAAAGAGATTCCAAAGGAGAGAGAAGAAATACAATTACGATTAATGCCATAAAATAAATGAATACAGTAATTGATAAAAATAACGTTTAGGTTCTTTTCTCATTACCCAAAAGTGATGTAAAAAGATATAAGAGTTATTTTCTCAATAAAGAATTTAGTCATAAAGATGGCATTATCATATAGAGAGTTTCTCTTTAATATTATTGGAAGTCCAAATTTTAAGACATAGTCTATAATGGCATATATGGTACATTTTATATTTAGCCTTCATTGGATAGGTATTAAGAGAATGTTTCTTAATGGCGACATTTTGAGACTTTCTATTTGGTGCAACCAGAAAACTTTATTTGATGATTTGCAAATTAAAGAATTCCACCGAGGAGCTTAAATAAGTTTCCTGTTAGTAATTCAAGTTTCATTAAGTTTTCATCTCATTTAGTTTTGAAGTAAATCTTGTGATGATTATACACATCACAGTTTCAGTGGGAGTTTAAGGCAGTAATTAAAAAAATTATATTTAGATATTTAGTAGCAGCTATAAAGTTACACGGAATCATTAAAGATTACACGCTCACATATCGAAGTTCGGTCCAGTTAGAGATCATTCAGTATCCCGACTTCGATTTTGTTAAGTTGTCTATATTGTCACAAGACTGCAAATATAGTATGGTCTTAAAAGACTACTTAAGTTATAATGTGACAATAATGCAACAATTTAAGATACTCTAATAACAATGACCATTAAGTTCTTAATTATTAGATTTAAGTTCAGAATGAACAAATTTTTAAGGAGCACATTCGGACAAACTCCAATATCACAGATTACTTCAGCTAAGGTATTCGGTAAGTATC